GAGCGCCCCCTATGGGCCAGCCGCCACTGGTTGAAACTAGCGACTTCTAACTGTTAAATTAAATTTAATAAATTCTGTTTTCATGGATGCATGGATGTTAAACTTAATTGTTACACCTGGTAAAGCAGCAACGCTGATGATTTTATTAAAGATGAAAGAATTTAGACCGTTTTTAACTCTTAGTGTTCGTTTGACTTTGGGACCTGAAGGACGGAGTTTTGGACCCAGATTACTCCGCGAAGCTCCTCACTACGGCAGCCGTAATGCTCTGACAATCCATCAAGCAGTGCGGCTTACCAAAGTTGTACTAAAACATTTTTTAACAGATTTCTGCACGCCAAAATCGGTTCGAGGTCAGTAAGCACAACCAGAATTCATACATAAGGCACACTCTCGATTTTTGAGAAAATTAAAGGATTTTAAGTGTGCCTTATAGTGTGGAAAATACGTTATACAGAAGAAAAGAATATATCGCGATATATATCGTTACCGCACATGCTTCAAATTATACCGCGATATGGATTTTAGGCCATATCGCCCAGCCCTACCGTGCTTCATATTCAGCTCTCGCTTCTCCATGACAGACCTGTAGAGCATCCTAATCACCGCTACTGTGGTCCCAGTCAGCTGTGGGAGGAGTTCGGTGAGGCCATGGAAAAAGATTTTTGGACTGCCTCAGAGGGATTCTGGCAAAGCAGCGCTCTAATAATGTGATGTATAGTGCAAGTGGGACATCATTGACGTCAACTGAGGATACAGTCGGGTGGAGTATTCTGGGAGGACTTAATGAGACTAAAAAGCAATTACGTGACGTTTCTGAACACGTACCTATTTAGCATGTGGCTAAAACAAAACCCAAACCTAATCCTAACCCTGGATGGTTTGCTAGTGTCCTGGTGGACGATAAGAGTTTTGAGAGTTTCAGCCAAATGTGCAGATCAATTCAAACTCTAATTAGCTAATTAGTCCTCAATTCTGACACTTTCACTGCTGTCAGCTAGTTTTTGTAAACTCAGGCTAGATAAATCTTTCAATACGGACTTACGTTTGCAAGAGTTATTGCAAAGCATATTAGCCAAACCCAGACGGGCAATTATGGATTTCTAATAAGTGGTCACTCAATCAAACTAATGTCTAAGCTTCAGAGTTATGAATCATTAGTGTCTGCCAGGCATAAACATCAACCACCAGTCTTATCAGCCAGCCTTCGGTCATTTACCGATTCCTCTATGGCAGCGGTCCCCAACCCCCGGGCCTCGGACCGGTACCGGTCTGTGAGTCGTTTGGTACCGGGCCGCGAGAGTTGAGGCTCAGGTGTGAAATGTATGGTTTTCAGGGTTTTTATCGGTTTTCAGCGTTATTTTGTTATCGTTTTTATCGTTAACTCGGTTTTCCTGGTCTTTTCACGTGTGTTATGAATAAATCTTCTTTTTTTCGGTACCGGTACTAGTTTTATTTTGTTGTATTTATCCGCGACACCTTAAAGGCCGGTCCGTGAAAATATTGTCGGGCATAAACCGGTCCGTGGCGCAAAAAAGGTTGGAGACCGCTGCTCTATGGCATTTTAAACACAACAAATAATTTATTTTGAAGCATAAATTACCTTTGCAACAGCTGAAATCCAATAGCTGTTGTAAATTGGACTGCCAGAACGTAAAGTTAGATTAAATGTTTTTTCCACTGGACAAACTTTCAATTCTGTTGCCTCTGTGTACCTTTGGTTCCTAATATGTAAAGGTCTTTTCACACTTCAAAAGGCATATATGTAATTCATATATTAATACAAACAGAAGAGATCAGGTGTGTCTGTTGAACACATTTTATGACTCTTAAGGCCCAACCATCACGATATCCCTCATTTGTGGGTTTTGTCAGTCTCTCTAGGCTACAGTGTAACTGAAAATGTGTCTGTATTTTGGGATGAAGCATTAGTTTCGGATGGATAGGGAAGAAATAGACAAGCGGGGACAGGAGAGGTGTTTTGGAAATATCAGGAGGAAACCCTCGGGCAGACCCAGGACTTGCTGGAGATTATGTTTCTTGGATGACTTGGGAGTATTCCCCCAGAAGAACTGGAGGCGGCAGCTGGTGAGAGAGAGATGTTGGCATCTCCTTCTCCACCCCTGCAACCAGGTTCCAGATAAGCAGTAGAAAGCAAATGAATGTAGAGCAGGTGTTTCAAACAGAGTCTTTACAATAAATTCTTATGTTTAAAACGGATTGGAGTGTTAAAGAATAAAACTAATGTAACATATGACATTGTAGTGCAGCCTTCAATTCAATCAACGCTGTACTCCCAGAAAAATCCTTTTATAATAGGTTATATGCACTGCCAGATGTTTAAGCACTGAGGACACAGCTGAAATGATTTTGCACTGAAACGTGAGCTGTTAGCGATGCTGCTCACATCAAGATGATCAATACTTTCTACTAATTTGGTGATGAATTTTTTAATCACCTTTAGACTTTTAGGGTCAAAGCAAATTTTGTGTTCACTGCATCAACAACTCTGATTATGAGGCTGGATTTAACATCTTAAATGTCAGGTAAAAGTGACATTTCTCATTCTCGCTGATAAAAACAGTTCCACCTTGAGGTTCACAATAGGATTAGACTGGTTTAATACAGCTATTCAAAGCTGTTGCTGTAAGCTCTTGAAAGTAAGTTTAGTGCTCTGCGTGTCACTGTATCGTCTCTTCAGTGAAGATGATGTAATGTTAGGGCAAAAATCAAGCATGTCAGAGCACTGCACTGAATCAGAGCACAGCAGCATATCTACTGTAACACAACCTCATCCTGGATTATACAGTGGATGATTGATGATGAATTTTTGGTAATTTGGTATCATTTTAATTTCATTTCATTGATCTCTTTGCTGATGGTACCGGGTGTTCGATCTTTTTGAGAAATATGCTGCAGCCTGAAAATGGCCCACTTTCCTCGTCTAACGCTGCTGCTGCATGACCCTCATGAAAAGGTAAGGCAATGCAGCACCTGTGAATTTAACAAAGAAGCACAATTGCAAAGACGTGGGCAGTCCTGTGGGCAGAGGCAGAATGACCGAAATACACACAACAGCACTGCTGAGAGCTCGGATTTACTACGTGGACGAACAACACATGAATAGAAACGCTGGGAATGTCTGACTCACTCATCTGAAATTAAAATGTTTCCAAAGAAGAGTAACACATGTGCCACAGATACCGGTAGCCTGCAGATAAACACACACTTACGCACTCACACAAACAAAATAGAGACGCATAAATCTGCCATGACGCTTTCAATTTTTAAAAACGAAAGACACATGGATTCACAGCAGAGGAAGGTGCTATTTGCTTTAAGGGAGGACGGACGATGCAACAAAACAAGCTCTAAATCTGTGTTAAAATCCAAGTTAAACACAGAGGGATTTCTGAGATCTCCTCAGGACAAATCTGACTGGCACTGAAGCTGCGGCTTACTATTATTTTTATGTTTGCTTGTTTTTCTACATGGCAGATGCTGCGCTGGAGAAAATGCCGAGTATCTCTTTCACCATATCTTCTTGAAAGTGTTTAACCAGCTATGCTGGTTAAATCTATTAATACAACATGCCGCTTTACACATACTCCAATCTAATTATGCAGCATTGCGTCCCAATTTGTGTAGCTATTAGATCTAAGGAACTCCATCAACACAATCTTTTTTTTTTTCAAAAATAGGCTCATTTGGAAGTTGCTGAAAAAGTTAAACCACCGCTGGCTTGGCTGCAAACATTTTACATCGATTACACAAAATACTTTAAAAGCCTGAGAGGCATGCAGATGACAGATTTTGCCAAGCTGCTGTTTTCCAAAAAACTAGGGAAAGTATTTAAAGATCCAATCTGCAAGTTAGAGTTGTGAAGTAAAACATCCCTCAGCCAGTTTGGGATTGATTGCAGGTCCTAAATCTTCTTCGTAATTCAGCCGGCGAGGTGAATCTTTCATTTTCATTTCATTTGGATCAATGATTGTGGCTTGTGGCTGTTTTTTTTTAATGTGGGGTGAGGAGCAGGAAACAACCTGAAACCGCATAAACAAACACCAAACATGAGGGGGAAACATGGTGAAGAATAAACAGAGGAAAAGTCCCCGGGTTCAAACACGCAGTTGGATTGCTGACAAAATGTGGACCTTAATGCTGCCGCTGCTCTCTTGCCAAATACATTTTAATCAACCACTGAAACACTGAATTTTAATCCTGGATGTCCACATTTCCAATCTGCCCGATATACTGTGGATATCTGCACAGCTTATCCAACCCTACAGAGTGTCTAATTCCCCGCGAGTATTATGTAAAATCTTCTGTCATCTACTCCTGCTTTTGTCTCTCCTTGATCTGCATAAACGGCTTTGTTTACATTACATCCTCAGCTCCACTCTGACAAAAACCTAAATGCTCTAAAAATGTAGCTGCAACTTTAAATCTCCTACAACTGCAGGGCATAGTATCCCTGAATCCTACCCTGGTGTCAGGTGGACTACAAAGAAAGCAAAAACCTCTGCATCCCTCCGAGATTACATAACTTCTCTCAGTCCTTGGGTACCAGAGGCAGCCCAGTGGTGGCAGAAAACAGTTAAACTGTGGTGGGGAGAGGCTGGATGCACATTAACACATTCCTCTGGGCATTTGGAAAGCTCTTAGCTATCAACACCGATAGGAAAAACAGCCTGGCCACAGAGTAAGGTATACTACCGGCATGCACGGGGGAGTGTGTAAGTACTGCACAGCAATCACAGCCACTGATTATCAACTACCCAGCCTGGGTATTTAATGGTGACCTCTGAACCCTGCAGGCGTGCAGAACACCTGCTTCAAAATGCCAACACACCAAAGTCAATGAAAAATACAGGAAAAATGAGCGCAATGTTTACAAATGGCATGCAGCACCAGCACAGTTATTACACAGTTACACTTCATTTACATGCTCTAAATGACTGAACCACTCCACGGAGCTTCACTCACTCACGTCCACGCACCTTGGTCAGCTGTGCTATCTTCTTGCTCATCTTCAAATGCAGGTCTTGAGTGTATTCCAGCGTTAGGCTCCCGTCGTAGAGCATGCTGGAGGTTGTGCAGGGGGGATATTTGGTGCTGCTAGTCGAGGTGTTGTACGGAGGCTGCCAGCCTGCCCCCGTCGCCATTTTCACCGGGAACAAACCCACACGCGACGCCGCGAAGTCAAATAAAATGGAAGTGGCCTCCGCTGCGCCTCACATCGTCCCGTGGTTGCGGCTTGTGCGGTTATTCTGTCGGCTTCTGTGACGGAGGACGGAGAGCTGGAGCGGCGGAGCGCGAGACCGTTCCGCGGCAACGCATCCTCCAGCACCGCGGGCGCGAGCGCTCGAGATGAGGAGAGTGACGGAGACGCGCGCCAGATGCTCACCCCAGTAGCACGCGCTCAGGTCCGATTGGTTTACCCTTTGATGCAGCTGTGAGTGGCTTGTGTGACTTTTCTCTTCTATCTTTCTATCAATCCAAGCTGTAATACAGTTCTTCCTCCTCATTCCGGGTTTCAACGTCTATTTTTAGTTTTATTATTTTATTACTGTTGTTCTGAAACAGCTGTTTTTCCTGTTAGGTATATATAGGCTGAAGCATAAAAAATTTACACTCTTGCTTTTACAACTTTAAGCCCAAGGGGGAGGGAGATGCCTTTGGATTTCATTTAGGCTTCACTGGATTACGTCACTCTCGTGAAGCGCAGGCTGTCACTAATCCTGCACTGACATCTGTCGGCGGCTCGTGTGAACTGCGACGCTGTTGCTGTTATTGTTGATATTATTATTAAAGGATCAGTTCGGCCAATGTTCAGACATCGTGAAAAATTACACCCAGTGTCTCCTGTCCTATGACAGCTGGGAGAGGCTCCAGCGCAGCTTAATTGGATAAAGGCGGGTGAAAAAAGAAGCAGGATGGTGGTTGTGTCAATGGCCTTTTTTTATTGTCAAGAATTACTTTCACACTTCTTCCCTGTGCCTTTAATCAATCATCAATTAATCAGGTACACAGGAAAGAAGGGGTGGTCAGGCAAGAGGTGTAAATGCCATCAGTGTCAATCCAAAATGTTAAAACGTTTATTATTCATTATATTTTACTTTTTACATTTATAATTATCATGCCGACTCTTTCCAAAAGCAAGTTTCAGCACTTGTCAGCTGAAATGGTAACTTCTTGGGTCACTTATTTGAAGCAGCATCTAAATTAACTTTAACACTGTGCACCAGGGCATATAAACTGCATGTATGAACTCATATCATTTAAAAAATCAAGGTTTTAACAACTTATTTCTCCTGGAGAGTATAATTCTGTTACCATCGTTGCTGTTGAGGAGTTTTCTGGTGTGCTGCGGTTTTACTGGTTGAGGTCAGATTGAACTATATGTGGCCCCTGATCTCGTTTCATGGTTTGTTTGGGTATTTCAGTTTTCATGTTGATTACTGGGAACTTTTTCCACAGACATGAAATCTTATTCCAGAACAATTCATGTAGTGTAAGTGCAGCACTGATGATCTGGAGCTGGCTTTCAGGAAAGCATATGTGAAGAGCTTTGATCAAACATGCTTTTCATAGTTTCTTGGGTCATTCTTATTCTCTGTTTGAATATTAGATGCAGTCCACACAGAGAAAGTGGATGTGTATTATAAATAAAATGATTACACCAAATGATGGGAGCTTTAGATGTGAAAGGACTGATTATGTCAAAGCAGACACCTCCTAATAAATGCTAGCTTTCAAGTAAAGAAAACAAATAAAAAGCGAATTAGATCAAATAGACGGATTAAATCTGAAACCACAAGGCTACAAGGAAATGCATTCAGTGATGCATTTTGAATAGATTAAAAAAGTTTCCTGCTGCGTCCTTTTACTCCTCTCGGAGTGGTATAAAATTTACACCTATTAAAGCATCATAGAAGAGTATCATTAAAGTCGATCAGCTGAATTCCACGCAGCACGCGTTAAATCAATCAAACTGAACCGCATCTATCATTACAGACTGTTTAACAGCAAATTCTCCTCCGAACAGTAATGCACAGGATTTGCAGTCGGAGTCCTCTATCATCGAGGCCTCAAATGTAGAGTTTCTGTGTGCAGGATGGATAAGGGATGATGCTAAAAATGACAGTGGGGGCACCCAGGAGGGATCTCTCTGAGGCTGAAGTCGATCACTATTGATCAAACCGCGGTAGAAAGGTCACTAAATCCTGGAGAGGAACAACTGCAGCATTTGGCTCTGACAAAACTCTGTTGCGCTGCTCTTGTCATTTTCAGAGGATTACCATCATATGCACTAATTAAAGGATTAATGAAAGCCTGGCTCTCAGATGCGCTGTAGTCTTAATGGGATACCTCGACATTTGAGCTTTTAGTCCAATGTTTTCCTTCACCAGACGCGCCATGAAGTGGCAACACAGGCTCTGTTACCAATTAGCCGACGAGCACAGCGCATTTACTTTTTCCTGGTTTAAAGACACTTCGCATCTGTTCCTTCAGTTTTCATTTCGAAGCTCAGGCGCTCCAAGGACACTCAGCTCACGCACACTTTTCCTCCCTGAGCATCACTAGGCTACATCACAACCTCAGAAACAGAAAGCAAGAACAAAGGCACACTGTGTCTTTGACAGAAAAATGTTTCTGTGACAGCCATAACAGCATGTTACAACCTAAAAGTAAGCCTCGACTGATCCTGCTGTCTGTGGACTGATCCAGGTATCTTTTACATTTTGAATGCACTCCATCCATCCATCCATTTTCTCTTTCTTATCCAGGGCGGGGTTGCAGGGGGCAGCAGGCTAAGCAGAGATCCCTCCCTCTTTAGCCTCCTCCTCCAGCTTATCTGGGGGAACATCAATGCTTCCTGGGCCAGCCAAGGACTGTAATCTCTCCAGTGTGTCCTGGGTCGACCACGGTGCCTCCTCTTACTTGGAATACCTCACCTAGGAGGCGGATGCCCAAACCACCCAAACTAGCTCCTCTGAATGTGGAAGAGCAGCGGCACTACTCTGAGTCTCCCTCAAATGACTGTTCTCTTCATCCTCTCACTAAGGGAGAAGCCAGCCATCCTCAGAGAGAGTGGAGCTGAGAAAGCTCATTCCAGCCGCTTGTATCCATAATCTAATTCTTAGATTAGATTATGACCAGAGCTTTGGATAGTGCCTGAAATGGGATTTAATACATGGAATAACAACACATGAATAGCTTTGGAGGGTGGGGTCGTAGATCAATCGAAGACCAACTGAAAAATGGACAGCTATGCTTTAGGGGTGGGCGATATAAACGATATACGATAGAAACGATAGAGATTTTGACTATACCGCTCTATCGTGATAGTGCATGTTGATGATGTCATCAAGCTGCGCCTGTTTTGGTTGAAAGCATCGCAGCGGCTAAAACCATTGTATTATTATATAGCATAATAATTATATAGCAAAGAGATGAAGCACTTTTGAAATATGGGGAAAGCCAAAAACTGCGCTTCCTCCACTTCCGTAACATTGATTCATTAATGTTGAATTCTCTCGCAGCTGTCCGATTCCCATGTTGTTGCAGTATATTAACAACTAATCTTGTATTGTGGATGAATAATCTTAGTTGTTCTCCTGACTGAAGTTTGCCCCGTGTATAGCATCCTGCTATGCGATTGCATTTGTCCCTGACCATCAGAATCCCTCACGTTAACTTTTATCGAGTGGGAAAAAATTTAGCTTTCATCCTCCAGCTTCACTGTGCTAATGTTATGCTAACATAGCTGTGTCGCTAGCAATCACGTAGCACAACATTATATACCAGCTAGTCCAACTTCAGTAACCCCTCAAACGCCACTGCTGTTTAGTTTTCTGTCTTCATTTATGTTGGAAGTGGTAGCAGAGCTGTACGTTTTACTTAGTTTCAAAAATCTCTCAGTCAGAACATGCTATGAAATGTTTAGGTTGAAACTAGCGACTTCTAACTGTTAAATTAAATTTAATAAATTCTGTTTTCATGGATGCATGGATGTTAAACTTAATTGTTACACCTGGTAAAGCAGCAATGCTGATGATTTTATTAAAGACGAAAGAATTTAGACCGTTTTTAACTCTCAGTCTTTGTTTGACTTTGGGACCTGAAGTGACGGAGTTTTGGACCCAGATTACTCCGCGAAGCTCCTCACCACGGCAGTAGTTGCTCTGACAATTCATCAAGCAGTGCGGCTTACCAAAGTTGTACTAAAACATTTTTTAACAGATTTCTGCACGCCAAAATCGATTCGAGGTCATAACCAGAATTCATACATAAGGCACACTCTCGATTTTTGAGAAAATTAAAGGATTTTAAGTGTGCCTTATAGTGTGGGAAATACGTTATACAGAAGAAAAGAATATATTGCGATATATATCGTTACCGCACATGCTTCAAATTATACCGCGATATGGATTTTAGGCCATATCGCCCAGCCCTACCGTGCTTCATATTCAGCTCTCGCTTCTCCATGACAGACCTGTAGAGCATCCTAATCACCGCTACTGTGGTCCCAGTCAGCTGTGGGAGGAGTTCGGTGAGGCCATGGAAAAAGATTTTTGGACTGCCTCAGAGGGATTCTGGCAAAGCAGCGCTCTAATAATGTGATGTATAGTGCAAGTGGGACGTCGTTGACTTCAACTGAGGATACAGTCGGGTGGAGTATTCTGGGAGGACTTAATGAGACTAAAAAGCAATTACGTGACGTTTCTGAACACGTACCTATTTAGCATGTGGCTAAAACAAAACCCAAACCTAATCCTAACCCTGGATGGTTTGCTAGTGTCCTGGTGGACGATAAGAGTTTTGAGAGTTTCAGCCAAATGTGCAGATCAATTCAAACTCTAATTAGCTAATTAGTCCTCAATTCTGACACTTTCACTGCTGTCAGCTAGTTTTTGTAAACTCAGGCTAGATAAATCTTTCAATACTGACTTACGTTTGCAAGAGTTATTGCAAAGCATATTAGCCAAACCCAGACGGGCAATTATGGATTTCTAATAAGTGGTCACTCAATCAAACTAATGTCTAAGCTTCAGAGTTATGAATCATTAGTGTCTGCCAGGCATAAACATCAACCACCAGTCTTATCAGCCAGCCTTCGGTCATTTACCGATTCCTCTATGGCAGCGGTCCCCAACCCCCGGGCCTTGGACCGGTACCGGTCCGTGAGTCGTTTGGTACCGGGCCGCAAGAGTTGAGGTTCAGGTGTGAAATGTATGGTTTTCAGGGGTTTTATCAGTTTTCAGCGTTATTTTGTTATCGTTTCTATCGTTTTTATCGTTAACTCTGTTTTCCTGGGTCTTTTCAAGTTTGTTATGAATAAATCTTCTCTTTTTCGGTACCGGTACTAGTTTTATTTTGTTGTATTTATCCACGACACGTTAAAGGCCGGTCCGTGAAAATATTG